TCAAGATGCAGAGACACTCACCACAGTGTTGCTGAGAGCAAGCAATGCCGCGTGCTTCCACCCTGAGACAATCCAGAGGGACAGGGAAAGGGACAGGGACTTGTTGGTGCCTCATGCTTGTTGTCGGAAACAAATATGGGCAAAGTGCTGCTCGTTCCTTCCAAGCATACGGGTGTGAAAGCACTTTTGGGCAGAAACCGAAGAGACACATCTGAATGGCTCGGGGTGGTGCAACTGAAACTCTCAGACTGTCATGTTCCTCTGCTGGCAGACTCAGTCCTGTTCTCAACTTGTGTTGTTCGGCTGCGGACACGACATGGATGAAGACTGAGGGCCGTGCTGAGCTTCTAGCACGCATTCCTTTTACGGCCTTCCATGACCCTAGCCTGGAGCCCAGCAAGGTAATGCTTTCCCAATGCGGCCTCGGCCCCCGTGGCTTGGGCAAGGCCCTTGTGCGCTCTCTCGTGCGCTCGGGAAAGTGTTGGAGGCAGATTTCACTTCCTTGCGACACCTGACCTGTGCTCGGGATTCTGCTCTCCTCCAAGTCGGTGACACATGTACTCAGCTGTTGGGCATGACGGTTACACTTTTAGAGAGATTGTGTTGTGTGCCGGTCGTATGGGCCGGTCTCCGGCATCCTCAATGAAATTCTTGCGTTTGTGATCAGGCGCTGTGTACATTCCGGCAACTCAAAGTCTACATCCACGCAGGTTGTTGTTACGTGCATTAAGCTGTGCCAGCAGCGCTTCCATTTCCAGCTACCTGGTGATACATCACTGATCGGGGCTCCTTCTTTAGGCTCCAAGTGCCGCTGCTAGAACTAGACCATGTCCTCGACGAATGCGCTTCCCTAGCCCGAGGACACTCAGAACCGGAGATTCTTCGACGAACTTGGACATGTTCTCACATCTCTGTCAGTGAGAGACCACTGTCACCAGCCAGACCTCGCCCACGCATCTGTCTCACAGCGGTCCTCTGGGTGGCAAAATGGTGGCTGGTCTCGAACGCGGGTTCCGAGCCTTTCAGATCACGCTTGCGGAGCATGCGGAGCGGTAGTGTTGTTCCAGTCTTGCCTTCGACAACCCGGGGAGGAGTGGTCGCCAGAAGTCTGACCCCTCGCCATGTTCGACTGGAAGCCATCTTGGGCCGGGCGCGCAGTGTCAGACTCTCGCTGCCACGATGGCGACGCACTGAAGATGCAGCCAAAGCAGAGTCAGCTGTTGCTGACACGCCATGACTTGGACGATGTTCTTCAAATCTAGCGGATAATTGGTTAGCAGTTAGCATGCATCTGCGAGTAGGACGCAGGGCAGATGCCATAAACGTGGTGGTTGCAGAGAAGAGCCAGGAAGAATCGTGGTTCTGCGGACTCAGTGTAATCACCGCAGTGCAGGGCGCGCCCAACAATGGCAACAGGTGTAGCCTGGCGATCTCTCAGCACCCATCACGGACCCTCAACCACCTAGCAGACCAAACCAGCTCCATTTCCAATCTGAGCATCGCCTTCCATGTTGTTCACTTGACTCGAGTAGCTTGACCGTTAGCGTAGAGTTATTATGATGCGCTGCGCAGGATGCACATGCACGACATCCACATCCTTCAGCCTTTGCTGTGGAACAAAGCCTTCCATGTTCATCCCACAGCAAAGGCATCAGACTACGTCAGAGAAAGCAAATGCTTGTCGACAAGCTCTGACCAGCTCCTTCCTGCGACTGGTCAAGTGCTCTTGGAGGTTCTTGGCGAAATGGGACAGCTGTGACGGCTCCTAACGTCTTGTCGCCGGACATGAAGCGAGTCGAGCCAATCAAACTGGCGAATCATATTCAGGAACTTCCTCAGCTCAGGTCCACGCCGACTTCCATCCACAGCACAGTAGTCGCAGTAGAAAGGTGCGGAGCGCACAGTGACTTCTGAAGCGATTCCCTACTTTCAACGTCTTCAAAGAACCTGGTTCTTCGAAGGCACTTTGGTAAGGTGTTCCCCGTAGAAGTTCCCTTATGGTGGGACACACCCTTGTTTGCAGAAGGCTCGCTTCCAAAAAGAGGTCCGAAGCATGGAAGTATGCCAATTATGCATACCGCTGCATACCTTTATGACTCGCGGGCTCTGTGTGATCTAATTCCCTTCGGCAGGCTGCCGAATTGCAGGACTCGCGCTGTCGCTGCCCATGCTGCCCCCCCAAATATCCCACTTTCTCGGAGGAAAGTAATGTAGTTGCACGAAGGCTTGGCGAAATGTTACTGCCTGCAGTCGCAATTCTTTGCCCTGCCTAGACGTCTGTTGTCGACTCGCAGCCTCCTCTGCCTGCTCGGCCTCCTCGCCCCGTCCTTGCCGAAGCGTTTCATCAAGCGTTCGCCCCAAAGCGGGCTTCCGAATTCATGCCTTGAGCTTGCTGCTTGCAGCGAGGCGACGGAAGCCTGGAGGAAGAAGCATGTGTTCAAGCCGCACAGCCGCATAGCCGCCGTGGCCACCCACGTCAGCATCGATTGCAGTTAGTCTTAGGGTCGGAAAGACCTAAGATGCTTAGCCCTCGAGCCGTGGACTCAGGCACGATGGGAAGACTCTGCAAAGCCTCGTGCTCCGGGCCAGGGATATGAAATGGACGACACCGCCCCCATGTAGGCTTGTGTGTGTCGCTTTCCAGGTGCTGTCGCCCGACACGAAAAACCCTGGCCGTCTGCACTCGTGTAACAGCTCTGGGTAAACGATCCCAAGCAGCTTGCTTGTGGATGATATCTGACGTGTCTGACACCGTTTAGTTCACATGGAGCCTGGGCTAACCTTGCCATCAGCTCTCTGCAAAGTTTTCAGCAATACTTGCCGAGCCGTGCACCAGGCCAAGTAGCTGCTCAGCCCGCCTTGTTGCAACATTCCAGCTTACGAGCGACCAGACGCCAAGAATTATGTAAGCGTCAGATTGCTTCCAGCTCTGCCAGCATAATATGAACTGCAGATTGTAGCCGACGTTCTGCAGTACGCGCTCTTGGAATCATGCCAGGAAGCGGTTGCGACTGTGTCGGTCGTTCTCTTCGAGGATACTTAGTACAGGCCGCGGCAACGCATGTGCGAAGTCCGAAACTGCCGTCAGAGGCACACGTGCCGCACGTGGCTCCGGCACAGATCTTTCCACATCCGGTGCTTCGTGAAATGCCCGGCTGCGCACGGGCCGACAAGGCTCCCAAATAGCATCCAAATGCATCAGTTGCATCGTGTCTTTGCTCTGGCTGCGCCACTCAGAACGTCCCAATTGCATGATGTCGCAGGTCGGGCTGGGAGCAGTTCCTTGGGTTTCGGATTCGCCGTAGTTCTGTAACAAACATGTGAACTGTACAAGCTCCGTGCATGTGCAATGCTGGCTGCTGTCGGGGAGGATACTTGCCACTGCGATGATGCGTTGAGTGGAAAAGATGGCCTGAGGCCTGCATTTGGCTAGGGTCCTGAGGCTTGGTTGACAGCCCGACAGAGAAATGGCTTGCGCCCAGAGCTGCGAAGCTGCCCGCTTGGCAGCTTCAAGGCAGAAAGTTCGAAGACTCCAAGGCCGCCGGCCCGGCTAGCAGCGCCTTGGCACGCTTCGGATGTGCCCCATTTCTGTGGGAACTATGCCTGCCTTGGAGAGAATCTGAGAAGATGGATAAGGCAAGTCAGTCCTTCGGCAGATGTCACTTGCCGGACGGACAGATGGGGAAATCTCAATGCAATGGCGACTCTGGTCATCGGAAAGCAGCGACGGTTACACTGGCCACCGCAAAACACAGGAAGGCATGCGCTGAGCCGGTAAGCCTGTAAGTCTACATGCTTCACCAAGTGACCTAGGTTGACTGGAGCTCCTTCGCCTCATGGTGGATGCTCTGTAGCACCAAACATGTCAAGTTTCGGCTTCTCTCGACGGGCGATGTTGCCACCCCAGCTCTCTCAAGTCTCATTTACCGCACTAGGGTGATTCTTGCACCTAGGAAAGGCTGGCTGCCGACGCCAACGGCTAAAGCACAGGAAGTCACCGCCTAGTGTAGGCAGCTCTCTTCGCGCTCTTTGCCCCGTTTTTGAGTGGGAAATTTCCACATGCAGTTTCTAGAAGCCCTGAAAGATGCTGCGGCGACGTTTTTTCGAGTCGCCCCTGGTTGGCGGAGCGAGGGGACGGCGAGTGCCCTGACCAACGTCGCTTCTGATAGCCATTTCATCAACAGGTCATTTGCAGCTCGGTTGTCATGACGTTGCTGTGGGACCCTTGTCCGAGTCGACAGGTGCAGTGCTCCAACCTTAACTCGTCAACTGCCACTGCAGACTCCTGCGCCATCCTGTTCTCCTTTCGATTGACGAGAATCCAGCGAGACGTGTTGCGCTGATCACCCAGGAACGTTGGGTTCCATCTTGCAATCCCACGGCTCCGACGAAGCCGCAGTGAGGATTACCTCGACTTGTGGTGCCTTCGCCGCCCGACGAAAACGAGGCGTGTTCTGCAAGTGACAGGAGGGAGATCGAGGGGAGAGTAGAGGTGAAGCAGGAAGGTTTGGGGTATGCTGGGTGGAGACTTTCTTATTACAGTAGTTCGAGGAGTGTTCAGGAGGTAATGAAGGTTGTGGACGAAGGTTTCCGGCCACATCAACTGAGTTGACTAAGTAGCTATAGCTTGAGATTGCAGATCGGAGCCCGGCATGCTCCAAGCTATGCTCCACATCATTCATCGGAATGACAAGGGATCTCCTCACTTTGCCGCCGGAACCTCAAGCACACCGTGTAAGTGGATTTGGTCCGGCCAGCGAGCTACAGGATCAAGCGTCAAACTTTCTGCCGCAATGCCCGAGCAGCCAATCAGAGCACCACAGCCTCATTGCTGCATCCGCCGGCTCAGAGATGCTTCATGGCTGAGAGATGCTTCATGAGGGTGTTGTGTTGCCGAGTGCCCAACCTGAACATGTCACTGTGAGTTCCTGGGGCACGGACTGCAGAATCGACAGTACTTGACCGTGACATTTGTAGCCGTGTCAACGAGTCAACGAACGATGTCAATCTTTCAGAACTCTTCGTCCCATGGGCGCCTTGTGGGTGGACCTAGTCGACATCAAGCACAGGTGCCAGCAGCTACTAGCATGGCATACTGTGTGCTCTGCAGCGTCCTTTGCATTGTAAGCAACTAGCTCACAGGACGAAGACGTAGAAGACAGCGAGGCCAATGGAACTGGTTGTGCATCTGTTCTTCACTTCGAGGATCGCCCGGCTTGAGTGTTCCACCCGATCGCGGCAGGACGACGAGGTGATTTGCGCGGAGTCCTTCGATGATCGGATGGCCATGGGTGAAGAGTACGAGGAGGCCAGGAGGGTACGTTTTGGCCAACGCACAGATTGAATTTTCCCCACTGTTCTCTTCGGATGTCGTTTGTATTACATGTTGGTCCTGATGTTGATCGCTTCTAGTGGCTGTCATGTCGATAACTGCAGTATGTGTTGATCTCTAAACATTCCATTCGCATTGTCCACATCTGTACGCTTAGCCTCCCAAGCAAGTCCATGACGATGACGGTTCTTAATGATGCTATGCTATGTTGAGTCTGACGGACGCTCCCTGCCTATGTTCGTGGCTGTCATCCGCGCGCAGCAGCAGCAGCAGAAGCAGCAGCAGCTCCAGGAGCAGGAAGAGGAGGAGGAGGAGGAGGCGAGGTGGCAGCGGCAGATGCGGCAGCAGTAGCGGTAGCAGTCAGTGTTCAAATCCAGGTCCAATCTGCTCTCATCCCGCAAATGATGCCGTTGTTTGCACTGCACGAGTGCGAATGAATGCTGCACTGTGCTCCACGGCGAAACATGTACTGAATTCCAGGTTCGGATGCAAGCAGCACAAACTTTGGGCCCGAGCAGTAAGGATGATGGGAGATGTGGGGAAGTCACATTAGTCAAACCCTGCAGGCGCCTGCTTTGAGGTGAGAAGCTAAGGTGGAATCCCACAAGATCCAAGCTCAATGACAAAGGAAGACTCAGGAAGGCTGGTTGCAACGTCGTACCTAAGAGCATCCAGAAGCGACGAGAATACATTGGGTTAGAGCTTCAGAGATCAGTCAGCCAAGGCCCTTCGGTGTGGCAGGCCTCATGGAATCGCTTCATGCAGATCCACAGGGCTTTGAAAAAATGAACGAGGCGAGCGCAAGTCTCTCAGAAAGGCGAGCTGTTGAAGCAAGTCCTGGTCTTGAATCAACTCGTCTAATCGGGTAGCTAGTTACCCGTCCGCAGTAGTCATGCAGGCAAGCTGGATAAGAATATGTGGAGCAGAGATCCAGCTCTGGACATCTGTCTCTGGCCCACAATGCAAGAGAAGACTCTGGATGGACTGCTTCTTTGTATGCAGCAACGCGATAGGGTTTGTAAGCTTAAATGGGACGATGGGCGGATTCTAGAACAACACGCACGAACCGCCGATGCCTCTCAACAGCACCAGCTGCAGCGTCCTCATGCGAAGCAACATCATGCGATCATAAGTCGTTGCCACGCCCACCGTTTGAGTGCTCTTGCAATTGTGGGTTCCTGCAAGTTTGGGCGCTTTTCCAGAGAGTTTGCTTCCTGCCACTGTCAGCAACAAAATCCCAAAGTCTGCTTGATGGAACTGTGATTGGATCTCGATGTGCTCGGTCCTGGTCGGTCCTGGTCATTCGACAGATCAGTCTCAGAGTTCAAGCGTCGAAGTAGTGCTCGGGCTCCAACACTGTCGAGCCAAAAGCGCCAATGCATCGTTGCGTGGGCACCGCCGGCTTTCAGTCTTGCTTATCACCAACTCGAGGTTCAAAATGCCAATGTGTCAATCCCGAGCGTTGCTGAGACAGCCGATCGCGAAGTGAGTGGTGCAACAACTCGTCGAATCCCAAGCCGACCTTTTTCGTGCAGTCTCCTGGCCGTCAATGCTGTCACCTCATGCTCGCATGGGACGGAGTTAGAACGGTCTGTCACATGTCACACTTGCGAGATCGTGAAGAAACCTCACAGACACAACCTTAGGCAGAGAGTTCATGGCGAGAGGTCGATGACGAAGCGGAGCTGCAGGCCGACCGAGATCAGCAAATCCTTCAAGAGGCCAGCGAAGATCTTAGCAGTGTTTCAGGTTTGTGAAGGCTTTAGGCGCAGCAGCAACAAGCACGAGGAGTCAGCTGCGACATTAATCGGGACCTCTGCAAGCAAGAAATCGGCCAACAAGTCGTAACTCACCATGACGTATCTGTTGGCCATTCCGCTCGTCATGCCAGGCATGTCTCCCGGTCTCTGGTGCCCCGATGCCGCCCAGCGAGGGTCCACCCAAGGAGTCTTTCGCCTCGCACATCAACGCGTGTTGTGATCTTGTCAACTACAGCTTCCGTGAGGATGCTGACGAGTACCTGCGCCAGGTGCAGTGGGAGAGACTGCACTGTCCGGAGGCCGATACCCATACGAAGTAATAGGGGTTTTCTGCATCAACTACGAGATGATGATACTCTCTGCAAAACTTCACAGGCGCAAGTCGGAGCCTGAAGGGAGGGTGCACGGAGAGGTCGTCGACGTCGATGTGAAGGAGCGGAAGTCGAAGCACAAGGTGCCTTGGTTGCAGGTAGTCAAAGCCGTGATGCAGCCCTTTTCGATGCGCCTTCCATCTACCTAACGATGCAGCATTCACCATCAGCAAGTAGCTACCAAGGCAGCGGCTAGCATGCACGCAGCACAGCATACCAAGATTGGTCTGGAGAAGATAGGATCCCTTGCTTACGGGCGTGCTGCACTTCGTTGAGGTCGATGGCCCCCTCAGTGGAAAGGACGGCTCTGGAGGTCTGCTCGCGCTGTTCCAGGCACCCGAGGTGCCAGCCCGCTTCCGCCATGCAGAGGCCTGAAGAGAAGGGAGCAAGGTAAGCTTGTGTGATGTCATACTTGCAGTGCACATCTTGCGAGTCTCCTGCGAAGGGAGATGGATCTTATACTCAGTGCAAGCTTCGCCGCAGGTGCAGTTTGTGTGGGTTTGCGGCCACAAGATTTCCGGACGCAGAAGCTGAAGAAAGTCCGGTTTTAAGCATGGGGGCTGGTTCCCCGATCACCTTGCTACAGATGCTATACAGGCCGACATTTCTTCGGGTTCTTCAAGCCGAGACGGAGGCATCGAACAGAGACATTCTTTATCGTCGGCAGCCTCGACAGTGCCAGAATCTCGCACATCAAGTCCAGCCTCCAATAGAGACAGAGCCAGGCAGAAGGAGCTTAATGCCGAAACATGCTTGGAAGCGGCAACTGAGCTTGTAAGCACTTGACCAGTTGGTCGACAAATTTTGGGGACTTGGGACACGGCAATCTTCATGGCCCTGAGAGGGTGTAGGGTGGGTGGGTAGCTGGGTGGGTGGGCGTTTGGGTGGGTGGATGGATGTGGCGGCACCATAGGAGTTAGTGTCAGTTTTGAGCCTGCAACTGGTGTTTGATTGTTTTTTGTTCCAGGCGTGGGCCTCCGATGCTGCCGCTTCGTTTCGGCACCTGCGGGCGCTTTGTGAACTCGAGTGCAAGTCTGGGAAACGGGCGCAATCGCTCTCCTATGAGGCTTCCTGGCTGCATCTTACAGCATGTTCGAGAATCTGTTTAGGCATGTATTAAATCAGGCCAGGAAAGCATCAGCCTATGCTGATCATCGCTGGATACACACAGACATGTCGGTTGAACATATGACTAGAGAAGCAAACGACTGCAATGTCCAAACGTTCAGAGCGTGATGAGAACCATCAAGCATACTTTTCGCATAGAAGGACTCTGTACAATCAGATTTCGTCCATTCACGCCCCGCTCATGAGGCTACTGCTGCATGAGTGACTCCTCAGGCGTAGCCATTGCGACTTTGCAATGCTAGAGACAACAAACTGCCTTCTCCAGGAGTGGCGGCGACATGTCGCAAAGGATCGGCCAGACTCGCAGCTGCTCGCAGCCCAGGATTTCGTTGGAATCAACCATCTCGTGGTGCCTCGGCAGACTGTAAGGTCTAGCGTTCAGCTTACATGATCAGCCTAAAAACCTCTGCGAGGTCCAGATACATCACGAAATCCCAAGTCATCGTGCTCACGTCAACGTAGCTGCAGAGGTGGTGGCCATCGACAAGTTCGAGAAAGACCTAGAGCGTCTCGTCATGTCCAGACCTACACAAGCTCTGCTCAACCAAAAGCCTTTGCTGTTGTTTTTAGGTCTTTTCAGTGTGCCACGGACGAGAGCGACGCTGGCTTCCTGTCTGGTTTTCAAGGCGAAGGCCCAGCAGCAAAATCCACGTCCCAGCTGAGCAGCCGTTTGACGACAGCTTTTGCTTCGACGTACCATGATATTGTTGATGATGATGGCGATGGTGGTGATGGTGGTGATGGTGATGATGGTGATGGTGACGATGACGGTGATGTTGATCGGTGTTCACAGCTGTTGGTGCGCGTCTTGCTGAGGGTATTCTGGTTCTGGTGGTTGTGAATGTCACGTTGGCGTGGTTGTGGTTGTGGTGGCTTTGGTGGAGGTGGAGTTGGTGGTGAGGTGGTGGAGGTGGCGGAGGTGGCGGAGGTGGTGGAGGCGGTGGAGGTGGGGGAGGTGGGGCGGTGGGTTGGCCGGGTGGCGGGGTGGTGGGGTGGTGGGGGTGGTGGGGGTGGTGGGGTCGGCGTCGATGTCGACGTCGATGTTGGTGTGTTTGTGGTTGTGGGTATGGTGGTTGGTTTTGCAGTTGATACAGAGCTGTGATGGTGGTGGTGGCGGTGGTGGTGGTGGTGGTGGCGGCGGTGGTGGGTGGTGGCGGCTTTTTGGTACTGTTGCAACTGCTGTTACCATCTCGCTGCTGTTACTCGTGTTGCTGTTGCTGCTGCTATCTGCTGGTGCCGCCATGGATCTGTTTCTTCTGTTGTCCCTACTACTTATAAGCCAGCTTTGTTCGACGACAACAGCGACCCGACTATGACGAAGCTCTAACATACTCTAGCGCGCAAAGCTTGCACCTCCTTGTTGAGAGCATTGGATTTGCAATTCAACTGACTCTGACCAGGGGTCGATTCAGTCAGCGAGTGGATATTTGCGGCGCTGGCGTTCGTGGAGGAACCCTTGGTCGTTTGGCCCCCAGCTCTAATGCTTGAGCTGTAAATTCGAGCTTTGGCCGGGATGAGGGTTTTCTAAGTCGGTAGCTTTGTAGCTGCACATTGAGCAGCTGTGGACCAAGGACGACATTCAGTATCAGCTGCAGCGGTTGCGACGCGTTTGCTGCCGCTTCGCTGCGGCCGTTGAGGGCACAGCTGCGAAGGTCAGAATGGATCAGCAAAGCTGCACAAAGGGTTGAGTCGAGCTTGTTTTGGTGTTGGATTCAGGCTTCCTTACGTCTCCACTTCCATGAGAAGCTCCAATTCCGCACCGCTTTGCAATGAAAACAGCAGGGCTGGTAAAAAAGCACAGGTGCTGCGAAGGCAGCCGGGTCATAGCATTCCTCAGTGCGTAGAATGCTGTGCTGCAAAGCATCATGTTCGAAGGCTGATGGCGACATGGAGCCAGGCAGGATCCTTCTGCAACTTCATATACAGGCACTGTCAGTGTTGTTTCGTCTGCACCAACACGTCGGCTCGGCAGTACGGTAATGCCGGAGTTCGGGTTTCTTACATGTCTGAAGTCTTGTGTACAGTCCATGCACACCTACAGGACCTACAGTATTGCAGATGCGCGGGCAGGTGCAGCTGAAGCCACCTGTGCTTTCCTCCATCCCCGGGTGGCGCTGCTGCTGGTCCTCGTCATCGAAGTCTTCGGACAGACCGGTGCTCAGAGACTAGCCGTGTGCTGAGTTGCAACCATCACCTGGCTTCCCAGGCATTGATGCAGTGCGGTGTGCTTGGAGCCAGCACCTGAAGCGACAAAGCATCTCAAAACTGCAAGCCGCTGCGCATCGGGAATGGATGTGGTCGTGAAGCAGTCGAACAGCAGAAACGGACACTCTCGTGGCATGCGTGCTCAGTCTTGGCCTGAGATTCGAACTGGCTTGCAAGTTTATCTTGAGCATCCACAGAGCACTCTCTCGCTTGGGCGGTTGACTACTGCAGGACCAGAGGAGTTATATACTTGCAAAGACCAAGGCTTCCCGGCACCAGACCGTCTGACACATGTACCCCATACCTGGTGAGCACAACCTTATCAAGCAGGGACAAGTCCCCCCAAGGCATGTAGTGTGCAGCAACGACTGGGACAGGGTCGGCGAGAGCCAGATTGCTGGCCACCGCCATGCCGCGCAGCTATGGACGGCACAGGTCTGGAGCTGGCATGGAAGCAAACATTGATGCTGTGCAGCCAAGTTTGCTCCTCAGACTGATGAAAGAACCACAGGGAGTGCATGGCAGTGAAAAGCGTGTGGTGCCTTGCGTTAAGGCCATCACAGAGTATGGCATGCGACAGCAGTGGCGGGAGTCAACGCACTTGCTGGCAGCAAGGACCTCGAGTTCCATTGCAAAAATTCGCGCTGCAGGTCGCAACGGCAATTTTTGCACCGAGGTCACAAACGAAGAAAGTGTCGCCCCAGACCTACAGCTGCCTGGCGGGAGAACCAGACTCAGCGTACCCGCTTTGGACTGTGGTCTGACTCCAAGGCTTTACAAAAAGGCAGCAAATGCATGTCGCGAAGCTGGTCAGTGGGAAGCCTGCGTGCACATACTTCGCAACCTTGGCCAACTACAACAAGCAGGCGACGGCCAGGGTTTGCGGCAATCAGATCCCATCGGGAAAGTTTGGTCTCGACCTGTCTCCATGAGTAGTTGTGCGCTTTTCCGAAACACGCATCTTCATGTTGCTCTCGTTTTGCGAGTAGAATTGTTACGCGATTAATCCGGGACAGCAAAGATGTGGGAGAGAGAAACAGCGCCCTGTTCGATGTTGATGAGATTTTATTCCCTATCAGAGTGTGTCATAGAGCAAGCACAGGAGCTGTCTTCCGTGTCGTTTGGTGTTGGATGGGAGAAGATTGCATGTGGAGAGCAGCGTTCGAAACGAGAGGCCTGAAAGCCGACGTCGTGCGAAGCTCAGCGACTCCTTGTGGGGCCGAGCACTTCAGACCCGTGACTAAGCTTTCATACCAACTTGGGGCACAACGTAGTCCGTTTGCAGGCATCAAAGCGGAAAGCACATTTTCAGAAAAGTAGACTTGTCTCTTGCAAAAGAAACACTGCATTTCTGCGGTTGCGCCGGCTCCAGCCAGGCTGCTTCTGCATCGAGTGGAGTACGAAGCACGAATCTCGAAGTGTTCTTGCTCTTCTTCAAATTCCATCGTTCCGAACCTACACCATCCAGAGCCACCATGTCACGTCTGTGAATCAGCAAACCGGCTGGTCAGTCCAGTAGCGCAAACCTCGCCAAGTCAGAGGAGGCTGGATAGTTTTTTTGGAGCCTGAAAACAAGTGCAATGTGGCCCATCTGCTACATGGCCACAGGATGTCACAAGGCACTTTTCCCGTGTAGTCCATTTCGCGAATCAGCATCGTGTATCCTGGACACTTGCCGCCGGAGGCCATCGAGCAGCGAGCGTGTCGTTTTGCCATTTGCGTTTCCACACGAAGACCGTGGCTTCTGAGGTGTAGACAGTAGTTTCCACCACCCGCCCCCCTCTCCTCCCCACTTCAACGTGGTATGGCAAACAGAGGAGATGGAGCTTATCCTATTGCCATGTCACATGCCGGTGCGTCAAGCTATGTCTCGTGAGGTGATTGTTGGCACTGTAATGGCTAGTGCTGCCAAGCTTGTCTCCTCCAAGAGCCCTTGGGACGTGGCCACGCTGGCAGCTCGGCCGCAGGTGGTCCTCACATTTCGTGGTCTGTATTTCTCCAGTTCTGCCGCCAACAAAAGAGAGCACCACGCTACCCCCTCATCGGATCTACTGAGGCAAAGTGGCGACGCGGTTTGCACATCCTGCAGGGTGCCGCGCAGGTGCGACGACGACGATAGTACTTCAGTTCTTGAGACTCAAAGAGACTGTATAGAAAGTGACTCAGCCCCTTGCGAGGATGGAATTCAGCCCGATCCGACGTTGATCGGAATTGGCATATCTGCCTGTGGCAAGGCGATGCTTACCTGCTCCTGATTGCTCCCGCAAAATATGCAACGCAGCCTCGTAAGTGAATGCGAAGTTCAGAGGCTTTCCATGTATCTTGAGCTTGCAGCATGCCAGAGGCTGCCGAAGGCATGACATTGGCTCTTGTCTTTGGTCAGGGCAAAACATGGGAGCCTGCCAGCTTCCTACTGGCGGACATGCGCTGGAAGACTCTGCAAGTGGAGGATGCATATGCAGGCCATTGGGCACTCTCCGGCAAGCCTTGTTTTTGCAGACGCAGCGCTTTCCCATTGCAATGCCACCTGTGGGTGCTTCCCGTCGTCGTGGATCCGTGCATAGCCGGAGGAGCACAACTTGCCGCGCTGAATTGCGACAATGGCTGGCCAGCGGCGTTGGCGCTATTCCGACGCTTGTCAAATTGTTCCAGAAATTTGTCGGTAGAAATCAGAAGAGGTTGTTTTCAAGCAGATTTGGGATCGTGAATCAAGATTCACGAGCTGGGACAAGCCAGCATCTATCGCAAAAGAGCTTTGTCTGGGAAGACACTATTTGCGCCATCACATCTGAAATTATTCATATGCATGCTCCATTGCATTTTCCCAGAGGTAGTTGATATACAGGTGTACGTAGCAAACATAAAACATACTATATGGAATCAGAAAGAAGTATGTTGTTGTCTGCTACTGCATCCAATACACAGCCACATGGAATCCAGGTGATCTCCGGCATCGGCCACAGCTGGCGCTGACCACGGTATGCTGCTCAGACACAGGACTCCAAACTTACGCTTTTCGAGATGTGACATGTTCAACACAAGATCCGCAAAAAAAGGCAGCACATACCTTTAGCGGTAAGAGCGAAAAATACAAGTAGAGATGCTTGAAATACGACCCAGAGAGATGACAGTAAGACCTGCGATGTCGGAAACAGGCAGCACTGGCAGCAATAGTAGCAGTAGTAGCAGTAGCAGTAGCAACATCTATGCGAGCAGTCGCGGTAGTATCATCAGCCACAGCAGCAGCAGGGTAGTAGTGCTGGTAGCAGCCCGAAAGGAACCTGAAGCCCGAATCAGCGCTTCCCCAGGCGGCTTTAAATGCTGCAATGCTCGCTGCCGATCTTGGGGAAAGACCGGGCCGTGCACTTCGTCTCCTGCTAGCGGCGACACGGCGGCAAAAGTCGGATCCAGGCTGTAGGGCGTCGTGACAGTATCATGATGGAGGGTTGCCTCCGTTGGCTTCGAAGTCTGGAATTCCGCATGAAGTTGTCGTTGACTTTCTGCAGTCAGGTGTGACAATCAGCAGGCAGCAGAGCCGGAGGTCTCGCTGTAGGTAGTATGAGAGGTGCGGGTCGTGGAGGCTTTTGGGGGTTGTAGTTTGCAGGATTCCAAGTTTTATGCCCGTGCCAGTCGTACTGAGCAGTCCGAAAAGCCGTGCTAGCACTAACAATGCTTTCACCGTACAAACCTCAGCGATTGCAATGAGCCGTTGTCTAGTCGTATCTTATCAGGATCCTCTCTGTCTCAGGAGGCTTCTTTCACAGGCTCAAGAATTCAAGAACCAGCACCCTACCTTGAACCCCGCAAAAGCCCTGCACCCCTATACTTCGAACCACAATTCACCCCTGTGTCCCTCGCTTCTTCTAGGTCCAGCGGCTTGGCCTTGTGGAGACGAACGTGTTGAGCGTGACGACGCGCGGTCGATTTTGGGGGCATGGCTCTTTTTGTGGGTTTGGGAACTGGGCATGTTGTTTGAGAGTTGTGCTTTCGAGTCGGGAATTGGGTGTTGAGTTTTGAAGAGTTGGGGTTACGATGTAATGAGTGTAGTGGGCGCGAAGAGAGTGGGTCGAGGAGTCAGGTGTTGGAGTGCTTTGTGAGCGCCCAGAAGTCCGAAGTTGCCCTGTACCCAGGATGGGCTTGGCCTGTTTGGATGGGATGGTCGAAGGAACGAGCTGCGAGCCCCCTAGCCGTCGGGTGGCATGGGAGATGGCATCCAGGCCGGCGGTATATGAGAGCGGAGTAATCAGTTACTGATTGCCTTCCTTTCCTTCCTCACACTGCAATTGGATGCTTGGCGATTTCCTTTCCTGTCGATTTGCAGTGTATGCATCGATGGCAGGATCTTCGATAATTCTCGGAAGAATGCCGTGGAGCCGAACCGAGTTACCTACACCTCCCTGGTAGGCGCTGCACTATTTCCAGCAGACTCGGGGCTTGTAGTTTTAGGGGTCGGCTGCTGATGGGTGGCATTCTTGTTCTCGAGTAGGGAGCTGATTGATGGTACTTGTGTTCGCGAGGCGCACGACCCGAGTAAAGGTGTAGTTAGTGGTAGTAAACTGCTCTCCCTTCTTAGGGGTTAGAGGCTGGAGGTTTAGTTTTGGGTCTTGTCGGGGCTATGCCAGCTGAACCACTACCATGGTTCTTGCTACTTCTTGCCATAATGGCGATCATGACGAGCCTGAGTGCATTGTAGAAGCTTTGAAGGGGGACGGGGGATCAATGCTTGCACAATTCTCTACAAGACTTTGCCAGCCAGCGATCGTTCGTGTATCTAGGTCGATTACAGAGGTCGTCTTTTGGCAGTCGTCGGCAGGTCTATGACGTTCATGTTTGTATACATGCGCACATGCCAGCGCACGGAAGCCTATCAGATACGATTCGTGACATCCTGGCTACACCTCCGTATAGTCGCTTTTGTCCATCGGTGCGAATGTACGCATGCGTGCACATTGCTTTAACAATATAGCCTAGCGCATGTACCAGATCGCTGGAGCTCATCCTTATAACCGTGCATGCTAGGTTCGTGCGGAAAAATTGCATTGTAGCTATGTCTCCGAGTATCAGGTTTCAGTGAGTTCGGCGTGCATCATTTGTGGCCGTCCGTACTACGGCTTCGCGAGTGACGTGTTGAATCAGCATACGGTTCCCTCGCCCCTGCAAGTGGATGCGAAAACAGATATGTTCACTGATACGCTTGCAACGTCATCAAGGATGCACCTAGACGGCCGAAGTCCATGCTTCGGTCAGTGGTCGACCGTGCAGGTGAAAGTTCGGGTCTTAGGAGCTGTACAGCAACTCGGGCTCTTGACATCCAGAGAGGCAGCAGCATTCTTCATGCCTTCCTCTCCGTGTCCGCATTACCCGAGCTTGATTCAGAGGATGCCTACTTATGAAGCCATATGGCCATCACTCGATATCTGCTGGCACTGCGTCCTTTGGCTTCGGCACGAGAGCGCGTGTCGAGCATCACGCAACGCAACCTCCGCGCTAATTGTGAACAGTGTCTGTTCGCGGCTATATCGGACAGTGCGAAGCTGGAGGCCATGCTGCCTCTCTTGTTTGATCTTCTTGCTCTTGCGGCTAAATTGGAAGATGCTACAGTCTGCCTGATCGCGCTGGCACGTGTGCCATTACCAGTACAGTTACTATCATGTTGTCGCTTTGCAAGGCCTACACGACAAGGCTGGGCGCTGGAAATCTGCACAGCTGTTGGTTCACCAGTCACGCTTGGCCCGTGTGGCTTTTGATTCAGCTGCCTACCGAGCAGTGCCTCGGCTCGTGATGATTAGCGGGAGTTGATGCCACAACTTTGGGGATGTTCTGTTTCACAGAGCCTCGAGTTTGTCGCGTGCTGAGGCAATGCAGGTGACGCTGGGCCAGTGGTCTGGCATGGCTACACTTGCAGACAATTCGCCTCTCTCCCTGCCACGGATGAACCAGCTCCAAGGTCTCGCGCAGGTTCGCAAAATGTGGAAAGACCCTCACGCCTGCCCATCTCGAGAATCTCACCGGCCTTTCCAAAAGCTTGTAGCTTGCTTCGCATAGAACAGTGTGGAAAGATTGCATCTTCACTCTGCCTCTGATGCGTCTCAGTATACAGCTCCACAACGGGTTGAGAATTCAGAGCAGTCCATTGGCCACCACTGGGGGCCTCTAGATAGAAGGTAGAAAGGCAAGGCACGTATGCACGGTCAGAGCCCACTTGTCAGCTGAGTTTGGCAGTAGACGCAGCTTCCCCGGTCCAGAAGACAAGACTTTGCCATGAGCCGATCGCTGCTGCGTGTACCCCTGGCAACGTCCCTGTCGCGAACCGCCAAGGCGGCAGCTTTTTGCTGTTGTGAGTTGCATCGGTGAAGGGCTGGGGCTGGGAAGGCAGGTGAATGAGGCAAAGTACAGTTACTAGTAATTCATACTGGAGCATGGATCATCATGGCCACCACCATCACAGAACGCAAGTCGCGAGGCGGCTCTTCCACGGTATCGCCTTGCACCACGGCAAGACGACCTGCGACACGCGACACGAAGGTGGCGAAGCTCTGGCACTGCATGCACTCGAACACATGGGTCCCAAAAAGCATGTCTTAAAGTCGAAACACTTCTGGCGTTCATCCAGCAGTCTCATCAGGTCTGTTTGGGTCGCTACGTCAGAAACGTTCCTCAGTGCCTCTGACTCCGAACCCAACAGTACACAGGATCCCCACGCGAAACGTGCATGTTCAAACTCTGCTTTTGCATTGAAGCGAAACTGCAGTGGAGTGCTAGGCCAGGAAGCTGGGACGCAGCGATCTGTGACGAAGAGCACGTCGACGGTGATGATGAGAACCTGTTTCCTGATGCTCGACCAAATGGTAATATCTCAATTTTAAGGGACCGTTTCGACCTTTTCAACCCCGAACGTTCTGCGACCCACGACAGCCATCATGCCACGAATGCCAGTGTTTCCTCACCATGCAGGGATCGGATCACAAGACTGTCAGTCAACAACCACAGGGATGTGCCGAGGACGACAGCGCGTCGCTAGCTACCCGAGACCCTTGGTCTTGGGTGCCAGAAGCAGGCTCGCACAGGTTGCAGATTGTGCATTGTACCCCAGTGATTCTCGAATCTGATCGTGATGTAAGGCCCCAAGCACAGACCGCTACAGGCCCCAGCTACTACGATGAGTTTTATGGGCAGATGTCCAACAACAAATGGAGAGCCAAGCGTGATCCTCAGAAACTTGTGCAAGCCGAAGTCAGCTGAAGCTTGGCATCAGGCACAAAAGCATGATGCATCAAGCTTCGGGTGCAAATGAGAGTGTAAGAAGACAGACGCTGTGTAAGCTTCATGGAGATGACAAGACACCACAGGATGCGCGAGCAAATCTGTGGAGATGCGCAAGCATGTTGACATGTTTTCTGTCGCTAATCGTGCCGAGGTGGTGGAACCCAGCCGCAGGCCATGGGCAGTGGGGTATTTGAGGAAGACAGGCTTAGGTTTACTACAAGAGAGCGAAGATGATGCCTACATCCAGTTGCAGCTCTGGAATCAGGCATTGTGGGTTGTGAATTGTGCAGGCTTGCCTCAGCAGCCCGGGCGACGGGCCACCATTCAGGAAGATATTGCCCAATTGGTTGCCAGCGGCCAGCCCAAGGAGACATGTTCTAACGAAGCTGCTTACTTACATCACGCTTGCACGGCTTCTGAGTGGAGCGATCCCTGTCAGGAGGAAGTCTACCGCGCCATCCGCGAAGCCTACGATGTGAGCGGCAGCTTCTTGGACGACGAGGATGATGACCGCAACAATTCCAATAGATAGCCAAAGGCGAATCTCCAACTCGGAAAAGTGACCATCATATTTCAGTAAATCCTGATCATCCGATTCAATCGAAATACTTATTATTTCCTATTTAATCTAAGTTAATTCTTCAATTATTGATTCTGCTTATGAGATTCGCGAAGTACTACAGTATATAATATATAAGATGCATCTTGGATATTGCCTTCATAATTTTACAGCAGCATCAATGGGCGTTAAACACCATGCCGCGCCGAGTTTTTCGATATTTCGATTCGCTAGGCTGGGTTGTCTCGTGCCAGCGGCCTCCTTATTTACGCGATGATAAGGCAGGAGTCTAATTAGATTTTCGATATATATATATATATTGAATATATTCATATTAAGATCGAAACTTACTAGAAATATTAGAATAAAATCTGTCGGAGATTCGAATTGATTAAATTATTCTGAATCTATTTATATATAAATATTCCGATCGAATTCGAGAAATTTTTATATATAATGAAGATTGAATGATTTCTTATTGAATCTATTTTCTCTATAATAATTGGATCGGCTTAGTATAGGGGACTCCGAAGTTGGCTTGCGATCGGCTATTTTTAGCTATTATATTTAGAGATGGTTTGTAATCTTTTATATGACCCAGATAATAGCGCCCCTAAGTAATCGGATTGCTCTATAGCTATGAAGATAGGGATATTCTCGGTCGGCGAGGTTAAAGACCTCATAGGAGAAATCTACGAAGATATTATCGAAGATATCGCGATCGCATTCTATTAGCATCATCTTTTGGCCTTAAAGGCGCAATTATTCCGTCTTAAGGAGCATAGATATATATTCTTCGGATTGAATTAGAATTAATAAAATTCTAAGATCGCTTGATTATTTTATATATATTTTTTGTAAGTATTCAAAAAAAACGACGTCTTTCGAAATTTTCGAAAAAAATCATTCTATATTACTAGGATCATGAATAATATATTTCTATAAAAGTATATAAAAAATTATAGATTGGAATAGAAGTTATCAATTTCTATCTATTCGAAATATTCATTTATTTAATTTGAAGGCTAATTTATATATAAAATTAAATAATCTGAATCTATTCGAGATATTCAATTATATATATTATAATTATATTTGAAATCATGAATTCTTTATATATATTATATTTTTCATATTTATATATATATATCAATCTTATTATTATCTGAATTTCGAA